GGCTGCAGACTTGATAGTTTATTTCGGAGTTCCCGTCGTCTTCTTCTCCCTCTCCTCCGTCTTCATCCTCTTCTTTATTTCTGGGCATTATATGCATCATCATCGATCCCATCGCTTCATTAGGCAATGATTGCAGGCAATTTGTTCAACATTCCAACATGAAAACTTGCGGAAGTTGCGTTTTTGCAATTGTCTCGATATTTTGCAGGTCCAAATAACAACATATGGCAATGCCACTGCATCATCAGCCAACATTCTCCATTCCTCGTGGATAATTCGTCGAATCGTGCCTAAACGTGTCAGAAATGCATAATAGAGTAAAGGCGATTTTATCTTTTACCTTTCATGAATCTGTGACATGATGCATGTTTTCGCCTCTGTCGAATTTTCCTCAATCCTTTTCAAATCGCGCCAACGTATCTGTTGGGTTTGTTGATTAGTACGTTTTGATAAAAAGAATATAGGGATGCATTTGTTTTGGAAATGGCTAATTCAGTTGCCTCTGTCGGATCTTAATGGTGTACAATTGGGTCTTGATGACGATTCGCTCGATCTCTGCAGCTATTGAGTAGCAAGAATAAACGGGGCCTCTTTCCTTGGATACGATAGTTGCGAGGAGTTGGTAGCTGTCCACAATGCCCAAAGTTTCCCACAATTGTGTTGCAAATTCCATCATCTATGCTTAGGAATGGGATAGTGGTGTCACTGCTGGTAGCCATGTACCGAAAACCGGATGTTAGCTTAACTACCTAGCACCCTCTCGATCCCTGCCACGAAGGTAGAAGCATTTGTGCAGACTGCTCTAATTGCTTGCAAATATACGCCAAGAGTGGATAGTCCTGTTCTCTATCTTGGTGATGTCCTTGGAGTCTATCTATTTACTTCATTGTTCTTCGTGGTGTCAGATTTGCCTTTCTTTTAACAGGTAAGGTGGTCACTCACTGTTTTTGCGTCTTTGGAAGTGCTCGGCATTCTGAACGGAATCCAAGTGTCTTGTAGTTGATAGTGGCATCTGGCAAGTAGGGCGACCATGGAGCGGTTATTGTCTCGGAAGGTACCTCCAACTGTGGGGAGCTGTGGGTGAACTTGTGGTTTGTGGATGTTACGTTAGGACTTGCTGCACACCTTTGTTGACGGGTATTAATAATAATGTAGGATTTCCCTAGGTTCGGCAATTTTCTACCTGCGTTTTGTGAGGAACTGCCTTCAACTTTTGATTTAATCATTCTGCCACGCCAAGTAGGCTGGCCTTGAGGTCATGTCAGTAGCTCATGCACCTTCTTAGGGTTGAATATATGTATTCTGCCGGTGCATTATATCTACTTTCGTCTTCAAGGCAGTCTCGGAGTGTTACATAAAAATCCCAATGAAATCAATTTCATCTTCCTGATAATGCAATAGTAGTTGTGCCACATAAGTTACAGCGACGAATCGAGCTTGTATTTAGAGTCTAGCGATTGGCAAACCTACACATTTTTACTAAAGCACTTGAAGAGACCTAACTACAAACATCACGACACATGTCAGTCAGATGTCGGATTTGACGAATTACAAAAAGGTAATCGAGATGAGATGACCACATTGTATCTTGCAGCAAAATGTCAATGGAGAGCACTTTCTACAAATTGGTATTTACAGTCCTTAGTTGAGTGCACCTCAACGCAGCTTTATGATTAAACTAGTTTTTTAAGTCGTTAACAGCTAAGAATATCAGGGAATGTTTTTTGATGCAAGACCGTTAAAGGTGGTGCTCTACGTTCTTAGCAGAGACTTTAACGCACTTCCGCTTGCTGTAGTCATGCCCACTTAACTCACACCAACGGTGAAGCCACGCCAAAGCTCAAACAATGCAGTGGGAACAACAAAACCAGAGCGTTAATATTTGGGTCTTTTCGGAGTGATGATGCTAATGTAAACGCAGTAGTTTTCACTGATCCATACGGTCTAGTATGGTAGTAGGCTAAATATAATGCATGGCACATTTTCATCTGGTTATTCGTCAGTTACATCGAAATGATGGCCCTCATATAACAGAGGGAAATCGTGGCCGTTAAACAAACTGGAAAATATAAAGGGAAACTGCAACTGAGAAACAGAACTGAATATCCTTTGATTGCGTTTTCGGAGGCAACCAAACACCCACCACTTGTCTACTGCATGGATGCTTCGTTGATGTCTCAAAGTGCCCATGGCATTGACTCCCTCCTAGACAATTGAATATTTCCCAGACCCGTAAAGATGTGGCACTAGGCAAGAGTGGGCAGTTTCAGCTTCCTTCATATGTCGTTAGCAGTGACTACACTCCACTCGTTTTGCACATGTTTTGCAAAAAAATGTAAGTATTCTCAGAGACAACAACTGTTTACCCTTGAACTTAAATTGGTGTGCTCTATTATTATGAACTGAAAACTCCTCCTTACACCTTAATCCTAAGTTCAGAAAA